GTCCATCATACTAAAAAAAGATTTCGTTTTTAGTAAAGCCAAAAAAATAATTATGCACATGATTATCACAAACCTTAAGCTCTACAATTTTTGTTAGAAGCCGAAGAGTGATTTACTTAGTATAAAAAAAAAGTTTTAGATACAGGCTCGGTGCATTTGAACTTATAGTAAAATTTATATATAAAAAAAAAAATTTTTGTCCAGTTGACTGGAGAATTGCCTATTAAAGGAATTTTATATGTACGCGAGATGTTTTTTAAAGATATCTCAAGAATTACCAAGCCAATTTTGATGCTCTTACACTATTAGATGTATCTTGATGACAAGATTGATTGTTTTAGTAAAAAAAAAAGTTTTAAATATAGCACTATCATATTTGGGTCAATAGGTATACAATACTGGGCAAAAATTGTTGAATAATGGTAATTTGGCTCAAACGGGCAAATGATTGGCTAACATGTGCCACGCAGCGACACGTGTCAGCCAATCATTTGTTCATTTGAGCCACGTTACCGTATTCAACAATTTGCCTAGTATTGGTGTTATCTAGCAATTTATGATCATGATTGGTAGAGAGTTGCTCGCTGAGTTTTATTTTTTGAATATTGGAATAACATAATTATATCGTAACACATGAAAAAAATAACAAGAAGAAATTTTTTCATGATCATATGAGTTTGCCGGATAATAAACTTTACTTATAAAATTTTGCAGATCCCCTCTAAGTGACAAATGGATTATCAATTAAGGTAATAAATAAAACTAATAGATTTAATAAAAAGAGTTAAAGCAAAATAGTGATTAGTACATTAGTTGTATAATGTTTATATAGTAAATAAATTAAAAATTAGTTTAATATTGAAATAGTCACTAAAAGTTATTTTAATTATTTTTATTAGGTATTAATTTTTAGAATAAATTCAAACATTTATTTCTTGTACTTTTTGTTTTTTGTTTGCTTTTGAATCATTTTTCTTTTATTTTTTAAATAGTGATTTGAACCAAGAAAAATTTCTTTAATCAGTTAACCAAATCGAATTATTTCATTCAACCAGTTGCCAACCAATTAAGATTAAGATTAATATCTATACTACCTTCGGAAATTCTCGGAGTTTTATACTAATTTTGTTTTGTCTTTTATTTTTATTTTTTTCTTGTTGGAACTTTTCGGCACTTCTTCATACTATATTAATCCTGTCAACCAGTTATACCGGGTCAACCGATTAAGAATTTCCTCAACTGGTTATCTGAAATTTATTCAGTTCGGTCAGTTAATCAATTATGGCTCAACCAATTCAAATCACTATTTTTAAATATACTAAATTAGAATTAATTTTTAATAAAATTTTGGTTTTGCCTATAACAAGACTAGAGATGTGCCATGTGCATTATGCAGGCAGTATTCTAGATTTGTTTTTAATATTAATCTAATATTTTATATTTTCAAATTCAATAACCTCTCAGTAATAATACAAAGTCTGTTTACTATATATAGTTTTTGAGAAAGCTATAGTATATTATACAGAATTGCATAATGCATGTGATATAATGCTGCATTATGTGATGCAAAGCCAAAAAACTTGCATTTGCACAAGATTATAGTTTTAGATTTAAGTTATTGAGATTTCATAACAAAAACTTCTGTAAGTTAATTTTATTATAAATCTAGTTATTTTATGCATAACGGTTTTTTTTTCTTCACAATAATTTAAAGTTTAGAACTTCAATTAATTTCAATTAACCAATTAAATTTTTACTATATCATGGAATGATTGGCCAATCACAATAAAAGCCTGCTATGTTTTTTAATTACCATATAACCATACATCACGTGATATACATTACTCTGCAGGAAGAGTGAAAAATATCGATTTATATTGATTATATGTAAATCAATATTTTATATTTTTACAACTTTGAATTTGTGGCCAGAATTAGAATAGTGCTGGCTGAAATTAAAAAAGTTAAATTTAGAAATTTAAAAAAATCATAATAGTATAAATTTTTTTAAAAAAAATCTAATGAAATATATTCTAGTCATACAATGCTGATATTGGTCTATTAAAGTTTTAGGTAAAATTCTAGCAAAGAATTACTTCATGCTCTTATGATTATATGCTATAATTAATAAATCAACTCAATCCTGGACATCTTTGTCATGTTATTTCCAATCCTGTATTTTGATTGGTTGGTAGATGCAGTAATTGATATAAATTGGTTAATTTGATATAAATCAATATAAATCAATATTTTTTACCATATCGATCGATATTTTTAAAAAATCAAATCGATATTTTTCACTGTCCTTAGTATAAATAAGAAATCAAAAATGAGAATTTTTGTATTAGATTATACCCCCACTACATAATAAAAAGAGCGTTGTGACAAACCCGACAAATATAACTTTATTTGTGTGGGTTTGCTGGTTCAAGAGTTATTGCAGCTTGAACTTTCTATGTTTCTACTATACTATTAAAAGGATCACTTTTATATATTTATATTTCCAACCGTTAATCACAAAGAGTATAACGATAAATATTCCCACCGCGTAATTATGATGTAACTATTAGATATTAAAAAAATTCGTCACATGTTGATCTACAAATTGCGTAAATTATACAGTCACACTCCCATATAAGCACCTCCTATATAAGCACATTGTCTTTATAAGCACATTAATTTATTGAACCAACTACTATTAAAAATATAAAAATCACTCTCTACATAAGCACATTTTCTATATAAGAACCCTTTTTATCGGTCCCGACAGTGTGATTATATGGGAGTGCGACTGTATTCTTATATCGAATAAATTCGAAGATAATAGAAATTCTGATTGTTTATCTATTGATTTTTTTTACGGATATATTAAGCAAAAATACAACATGCTTAATGACCCTATTCTAAGTTTCCTTGTGTATATTCTTGTTATTCTTGGTATTCTTGATTTATCACTCTTTTTTCTTCAATTAATAAAAAGAAAAAACTATAGAGATACAAACTATAGAGATCGAACTCTTACAATTTGTCGTAATCTTGTTAAAGAATTTGAAACAGTTCCAATCTCTTATCAATGAACCGCTTCTTATAAAGTTGCCTGTGGCCCGCAATGAAGAGCATAAGGTTTGTGATAATCATGTGCATAATTATTTTTTTGGCTTTACTAAAAACGAAATCTTTTTTTAGTATGATGGAC